GAGAGCCAGACTCAGGAGGGTCCAGAGACTGGGGTGAACCCCCGGGTGCAGGGATGGGGGATGGAGGCTGAGACTCTCCCTGCACTGGCCGGGGTGACGGCTGGGATCACCGTGAACAGGTGACCTCTGGTCATGCTGAATCCACGCATGTGAGTCGGGGCTTCGTGTGGTGTGGCACTGCACGGTGACAGAGGGTTCCGGAACATCTCTCTGCAGCTGCTTGACCCTCTCAGACTCCTGGAGCAGACGGACCCAGCAGCTGCTCCGTCCCCGTCCAGCAGTCTGTCCTCCCACAGCTGGCTTCCTGGCCCTGACGCTTCCCCCCGGTGTGTCCACCAGGCTCCGTGCTGCCCGTGCCCAGCACTGGCCAGGGTGCAGGTTTCTGCAGGTTCCCGTGCCTCTCCCGGTTGGCAGCGTCCAGGGCTGGCTCTGCCAGGGACCTGTGCTCGGGGGTCCTCCTGCCGTGCCCCTGCAGTGCTGCTGGCTCAGGGCAGGTCCTGGGAGCTCCTCAGATGCAGATTCTGGCCCAGGCTGCCCAGGTGCACGGTGTGGCTCAAGAAATCTGAGGGGGCATTTGACGAGGGCAGCTAGACCCTGGGGTCCCATAAAGAAGAGTCCCACAGAGCAGCACCAGGATGGCCTCTCCCTGGCAGCAGAGGACAGACTGCATGTGCCCACGGTGGGTGGCGGTGACGGTGCCCTAGGTCCGGCCCCAGCACAGGCTGAGGGAGGCCTTCTTCAGGGCCTTCGCTGGGCAGCTTTCATCACTGTGACAAAATACCTGAGAAAACTGACTTGGGTAGAGAGGCTTATTGGGCTCCTGGTTTCAGAGGTTTTAGGCCACGGTCGGCTGACACTGTCACTCTGGGCCCAGGTGAGGGGGGAGGCCCTGGCAGGAGGGGTGGCAGAGGGAAGCCAAGCCCAGGAGGGGAGGAAGGGGCTGGACAGCAGTGCCCTCCAGGGAAGCCCTGGGGACCTGTCCCTCCTCCTGGGTCCTGCTCCTGCAGCCTCCACCTCCTGCCCTAGTCAGCTCTTCACCCTGGGACCCCAAGACGAGAGCAACTTGGAGAGGACCATCAGTCCGCAGATGCCCCACTCTTGCTCTGGGCCCAGATGAGGCAAGACACCAAGGGGAGGAGGGTGGAGGAGGGAAGCAGCTGGGGACCCGAGGCACGGCCCAGGGACACCTCCAGCCACCCAGGCCTCAGCTGCGTCACCTGCCTCTGCACGCTCTCCCTTGCTTTGGCCTCGTCCACGTCAGCTTTTAGGGGACATCTCCTAGGAAAACGCTAACAGCCTCTCAGGAGTCCACCCAGCCATGCCCCCAGGGTCTGCCCCACACCCGAAGCCCCCCCTTACCAGCCCAAGCCCGCGCGCGGCACGAGAGCCTCTGGGTACTGCAGACCCAGCCTAGGGCCCAGCGGCTCTCCCCAGCAGTGCAGTCCCCGCCCCGCCCTTCCTCCTTGACTTTGAGGCAGGATCTGTCTAGGTTGCCCAGGCTGCCCTTGAACTTGCAATCCTCGGCCTCCCAGGCTGCTGGGATGACTGACCCGGCCGTTGTGACCAGCACCAGGTCTTGAGCTACCTCCACTCAACCCTCTGAGGACAGCCAGACTCCTTGCTGCCCACAGGTCCACCTCCCGGACCATCTGTGCCCAGCAAAGGCTACTGGTCTGAGCTTGACCCCCCTGCTGCTCCCAGGGACGCCCGGGGGGGGCAGTACCCTGGTCAGAGGGCTGGAGGGTATTGGGGCAGGAAGTCCTCTGGGAGCTGCCCGGCTGGCTGGACTCCTACAAGGTGTGGCCAAGTTGGGGGAGAGCTGGGCATCTTCAGGGGCACCCGGGCCTGAGGAGGGGGAGGCTGGTCTAGGGTGCTGGTGTGGGAGGGCTACACAGTGGTCTTGGCAGCGCAGGGTAAGGGCCTGGGCCTCTCCAGAAGTCCCCCATGCTCACCCCTACACCACACTGCAGGGGTGGGGCTAGCCTGGCTCTGAGGCCTGAAGGCCACTTGTTGGAGACTACCTGGTCAGGTGGCTGGAGGCGGCTCTTCAGCCCAGCCCCCAGCCTGGAGGGTTTAGGTGTGGCCCCACCCATCCCCACCCTCAGCTTAGTCCCACAGAAATGTGGGAAATGGGTCAAGGAGGCTGGGAGGTYCCCTGCGGCCCTACCCTAGATCCCTGCCCTGTGGATTTCGTAATCAAGGCAGTAAACACATTAACAACAAAAAACAATACAAAAAAAAAATTTTTTTTTTTGGTGGTTATGGGAAATAAACCAGGGTGGTTTTACCAGAGCCACATCCCCAGCCCTTTTTAAGTTTTATTTTCTAACAGGGTCTTGCTAAGTTGCTGAGGCTGGCCTGGAACCTGTGACCCTTCTGTCTCAGCCTGTGGGGTGAGTGGGGTGTGCGGCATGGTGCTGGGCAACAAGTGGACATCCTCCAACCGGCCACTGTAGTAGTGTGTGACGTCCAGGAAAGCCCATGGAGAGGCCCAGCCTCCCCTGCCCCTCATTTTTTAAAAGACCTCTATTTTACTTACGCAGGTATTTATTTTATTTTTATGTGGTGCTGAGGATGGAACCCAGGGCCTCACACGGGCCAGGGGAGCTCTGCCCCTGAGCCCAGCCCCCAGCCCTCATTTTGATGAAAGGGTAAACTGAGGCATGGCTCCTCTCTCTCCTGTAAGAACTGGAGTGGCTCCTGATGGGCCTTGGGTGCACCCTCCCGCGGCGGCGAGGACAGTATCGTCTTCCTGTGGTGACAAGCATGCCGCCACACTCTCAAAGACAAGGTGAGCTGGTCCGGACCCTGAATCATTAATGAAGGCAGCAGCTGGTCAGGCCGGGCCAGCAGGCCGAATGCACCAGGTGCAGACAGCAGCCCTACAATCTGCCTCCATGCTCTGCACCAGGCCAGCTCATCTGTGCAAAGGCTGGTCCCATGCTTGTCCTGTCCAGGCCCGTCCAGCTAGGAGGACACCTGGGGGCCCTGGTCCTGGCCCCCACTGCCATGATGGAGGGCCAGCCACAGCCCCTTCCCACTCTGGAGCTTGGGATGAGGAGTGGTGCTGAGGGTGCCTCCAAACAGCCACATCCACCCTCGTCCCCCGCAGGCGTGAGCACACGTGCATGGGGAAAGGTCTTTGCAGACCCAACTTAGGGCCTCAAGATGAGGCCACTTCTGGATGACCCAGGTGGACCCTTAACTGCAATGCCAACAGTCCACAGGAGGGACCGAGAGCAGGCATGGTGGCCTGTCACCCCAGTGATGCAGGAGGCTGAGGCAGCCTCACAGGTTCCAGGCCAGTCCCGGCAACTGGGCAAAATAAGGGCTGAGGATGTGACTTGGTGGGTCAAATTCCTAGGACCAAAACCAGAACAGGACCCTGGCACTTGGTCTGAGTCCAGCTTCACCCAGGCTACCAGAGTCCAGGACCTGCCTGCCCTCCCTTAGTGAGGAGCAGTCACCTGGAATTTGGATCAGGGTGGGCTAGTGGCCCCTTCCCTGCGGAGTTCTGAGTGGCAGGACACACCAGGTGGTTAAGGCCACCCCTCGCATCCTGTTCTCTAGAGTCCCTGGCAGAGTTCACCTGAAGCTGGCCTGACTCGCGTGGTCAGGAGCTGCAGCGGAGCTGAGGAGGAGAAGCCCGCACCGGGCAGCACCGGGCCGGGAGCTTCCTGGAAGGCCCCAGGCCGGGCGCAGAGGGCGCTTGGCAAGTTCACGGAAGACCCTGCCTGAGGGAATGGCTCTGCCTGCGAGGCCTGTGTGAAAGGCCGCGGGAGCCCTGGAGGGCGCTGGAGGTGGGGTGGGCTGGCATCGCGAGCAACACGGAGCCGGGAGGGCCATAAGTGGGTTTCAATGCGCTTCTGACGGTTGAGACCTGGGCCTGGCGCTGGGTCTCCACCCACGTTGGCTGCCACCTGGGCTCCCTCCCCGGCCCGTCTGCGAGGGTGGAGCCCTCCCTGGCACCAGCCTCACAGGGAACAAAGACGAGCAGCCGGCCCTGGTGGCCCCAGCCAGGGCCCGGACGGGCGTCCCGGGGCGCGCAAATCCACGGGCGTGCACCGCGGCTTCTCCTAAATCCACCGGGACGTTCCTGATTAGCGATTCCGGGGTCCGGCCGGCCGCCGGCAGGGGGGGCCTCCGTGGAAATCGGCAGCCGCCCCTAATCCCGGCTGGAATCCTCTGGCAGCGGGCCCGCAGGCAGCTGGGCCGCGGCCAGGCCCGCAACAGGGCAGCAGCGCCGGGGCAGGCGGGCTCCCGCGGGGCCCGGGCTTGGCTCTGGGCGTCCCGCCAGGCGGGGGCCCGGAGGGCGGGACTCCACTCGGGCCGAGCGTGCGTCCGGGCCCGTCTCCCCAGCTGCAGCCGCCCACCCTGCTTCCAGGCCTCAGTTTCCCCACCCCTGCACTCGCGGTCAGACTTGGTTGCTTTGGGGCGAACTGAGGAGAGTCGGCGGTGATCCCAGGATCACGCCGCGCCCGCAGGTTCCCAGGTCCCCGCGCCAGTCCCCTAGCAAAGGTTCGGTTTGAATCCGACGTTTTGGCTCTGTGCCCACAGGCAAGATGGAGCGCTGCAGGTTTCCTGCCCGAATCCAAGATGGCGACACACCTCCCCGTGCCCTCACGCAGCGGGCGTACGCCCCTGCCCGTTTGAAAGATGGCAGCAGCCGGAGGCAAGCACACTTCTCGCCGCCTGACACGCCACGTACCCACTCTCAAGATGGCTTCTTCCGCCAAGCCCCACGCCGGGTGGCAGGTCTCCCATTGGCTCAAAAGCCATCACGTGCTCCCACCCTTTCTCGCCCTATCCCTACTTCACAGGTCGTTTCCGCCTTCTCCCCTGAAGGACGGCCATTTCCTCCAATAGCCGCCTGCTACCTCTCTCAGCCCCACCCCCCTGAGCGGCTTCCTGGCCATTGAGAGGCACTAGCGGAGGCCAGCGGGACTGTCCCCGCCCCTGGCCGCGGCGGGAGCCAATGGGCAGCGCGCGCGGGGGACGTGTGCGGGCGTCTCCGCCATCTTGTGAGTCTATAACTCGGAGCCGTTGGGTCGGTTCCTGCTATTCCGGCGCCTCCACTCCGTCCCCTGCGGGTCTGCTCTGTGTGCCATGGACGGGTAAGTCGCGCCGCGCCCGCGCCCGCCATTCTCTTCGCGCTCCGGCCCTTCCTTCGTCCCCACCCGGACTTTCTCCGCCGCCACCCGGGCTGGTGCGCGCGCGGGGTCTCTGGTCCGCGTGGCACGCGCGGGACCTGGGCTGCGGGGAAGGATGGGCCGCGCCCTGGCTCCGAGGCCTGTCTCCGGATCGCCTCTCGGTGGACTTCCGGCTTCTGCGCGCCGGGCTCTGAGCTCCTGCTGCCCCGCGCCCTCTCCCCGCCCTTCCGCGCGCGCGGCCCCGGTGTGCCGTGTCCGATCCGCCACGACGTCGTGCGGCCCTACTCGCTTCCCGTCCCCCATGCGCGCATGCGCCGCCTCCGGGCGCGCGGAAGTCCYTGAGCACGCCCCGTTCGGCGCCGCGCGCGCGTGCGCCCGTGCACCCTGGGCTCCGGTGCGCGTGCGCGGCCCTCGGCGGGGACGCGCGCCTTTCCCGCCGCGCGGGCTCTCTCCCGGGTCGGGCGGGGTCCCGGGTCCGGGGGCGCGCGTGGCCCGGGGCTCAACCTCGCGGGCCGGCTGCCGGCGGGCCGCTGCGCGGCGCTCCCGGCGCGTCTGGGAAGTGGTGCCTTGCTGCGTCGCGGGGAGTGTGTCGAAGCCGGCCTCGGTGCTCAGTCCGGTGGGGAGGCCGGGGTTCCCTCCCGGGGCGCACGGCGGGACTCGGTCGCGGGGGCCCGGGCGGGCGTGCGGGCGCCGGCTCTGGGCCGTGGTGGCGGCGAGGGAGAAAGTCCAGTCACGCGGAGCCGGGTTGATGAGTAACTCGGGTGGTGTTGGGGCTCGCCTGTGAAGTTGGCTAACTGGACCCGGCCTCGGGCCGCCGCGGGCCCCCTGCCCCGCGCTTCCATCTGTACAGAAAGCAAACAGCAGCCCTGAACTTTAGAGGCCAGCCCCGGCTCTGGAGGGAGTGTCTTTTGTCTCTCCCTCTGGGCACCGTCCAGAGGCGGGGCCTGGGGTCCTGCTGGGAGGGAGGGGCGCTGAAGGACAATGGTGGCCCCTTTCAAGTTGAGAGTAAGTGGACCGCTCACTTCCCAGCCCCTTGAAGCTTCCTGGCTGGCCCGGCTGGCCTCTGCCCCCAGCTGCACATCTTGCTGACCTCTCTCCTTTTCTCTCCACAGCATCGTCCCAGACATAGCAGTTGGCACGAAGGTAGGCACAGCTCACTTTCTTCTTGGTTACACTGTGCCGAGCTCTGGGCTTGCCCTGTCCCCTGCTGGCTTAGAGTGGAGGGCTGTGTTTCTAAAGCAACTCCTACTGGTTCACAAGCTGGATCGGCTGGTAGGGTTTACAGGCAGGAGTTTTCGACCCCTGTCCACATCAGATTGTCAAGGTGTAGGCCATGGTGTGAGTTCTCAGCCAGCAGGTTTGATGGCTTGGCACTGTCTGGCTCCCAGCTCTCTGTGTTTCAGTGAAACACTCTGAGGACTCTGTACTTCTTTGTGGGGAATCAGTCTCTGGATTCAGAAAAGCCCCTGTGCTGTGGAGGGGAGCTGTCTGATGTGTCCAGAGCACTGCGGTGGGAGTGAGTGAGGTCCAGTGCGCAGAGTTCTTGTAGTTGAGGCAGGGTGTCTGGGTTGGCGATGTGATCCAGGAGGGGACTTGTTGTCAGTCATCAGGTGATTTTTGTCCTGAGACCATCTCAGTATGTCATGACGCAGAAAGAAGTGGAGGAACTGATGCTTCACACGCAATAGTTTTGGGTGGTTGGATGTGTTTTGAAACACGGTCTCATTTAGTTGCCCAGGCTGGCCTCAAACTCACTATCTTCTTGCCTCAGCCTCCAAACAGCCAGGATGGCAGGTGTGAGCCACCTGGCCCAGCTGGCAGATGGGTGTTTAGTGGGTCAGGTGTGGCCCAGGTCCAGAGCTGCAGGGCTCTCTAAGAAGGAAGCAGCCGACCACTTGAGGACCAGCCTGTCCTTGGTGTACAAAGCAGAGCAGCTGTGTCACTTGCCTGTTTGGCTGGGAGTTGTCCTGTTCTTGGGGCTCATTCCTGGAGAGGCTACTGTGGCATGCAGAGCAACTGATTGGTGTTCCTGGACTGGGCTTCAGTTTTCCCTAGTGGGCTGTTGCCTACATATTGGATCCTTTGCAGGTAGCTGTGTTCTTTCAGTGCAGAGAGGGAGTGGGGCTTGGCCTCTGAAGTGCTCACTTGGGTATGGTCTGGCTGGAAGTAACTCCTGGCTTCTGTGGGAGCCACTTTCTGCCTGAGGCTCTCTGCTCGAGGTTTCCTGGGGGACCTTCCACTCCTGCTCAAGAGCGTCTGGTTTCCCTGGTGGCACCAAAGCCAACCTGGGCAGGATAGAGGCAGGGCTCTGGCCAGTGGAAAGGCACCCAGGAGGTGCTTGGTGAAGGCTGGGCCTGGGTGTGCTGGTGCAGGAGGTCTTGAGCCTCCACAAGCGTGGGCTTTTCCCGTGGTGCTTGACTAAGGCACATTCGCTGGGAGAGGCCCTCCATGGAGACCCTGGGCTGCCTGGCCAAGCCTCTGTTATGTGGAGTGCTGCTCAGACAGTTGTGGGTGTGCCTGCCCTGCCTGTGGGAAGACCGTTAGGGCGCAGCCAGGAGGCCACTAGAGGAAGTGCAGCTCTGCCCACTACTGCAGCTCAGGTGAAAGATGTCCCTTGAGCCCCCAGCATGGCCCTAGTCCTCCAGGAGGGTGTGTCGTGGGCAGGGAGTAACTTCCTGGTGGGTGGGGGGGGGATGGGTGGAGCTTTACATTTTAGGAGTGCCTGCCCATAGCAGGTACTCCTTTGTTTTCTGACTCTGGCACAACCCCAGTCCTCCTGAGCCTTCTTGTGACTCCACTTTTTTTTCTTGTGACTCCACTGATACTCAGCAGGCAYGACCCCAGTCCTCCTGAGCCTTCTTGTGACCCCGCTTTTGCTTACTGGACTGGTCAGGCTGAAGCCCCAAGGTGGGCCTGGGTTTGCCTGATCTGCACTTCATTTGCGCAAACCTGGGCCTCAGCTCTGCTTGGTTCTGCATTGTTCCTTGGCCCTGACGCTGCCTTGGGGACCAGTAGGCCTTCTTGGTGGACACAGGGCCCGAGGGCCTGAGTGGTGGCCYCTGGTAGCTGCCTCTGTACGATGCTTGGTGCTGGCGGGGTTGGCAGGGGTTGTGCCTTGGCCTCTTCTCATGGCTGTCGTTTCTTCCTGGTCTCAGAGTGGACCTGGCGAGGAGGCAAGAGTGTCTGCAGGGTGATCACTTCCAGAACAGCTCCTGGGGGCACTGGGCAGTGGCCAGGACCTGGTGCTTGTCTGGGCCTCGGCGCTGGTCTCCTTCAGAGCAGTGGCTCTGCAGGCAGTCTGGAGGAGGGGAGATGAGTCCTGTGTGGAGCAGGAGGAGCAATCCGCTTCTCCAACCCAAAACGCCCCCAAATAAACATAGGCTGGCCAGAGTGCAGTGGGCCAGCTTCAAGGACAGAAGGGCCATGGCCAAGGTGCTGGTAGTGTTGTCTCCGGGTCCTCAGGCCTGTTTTCGTTTCCTGGGTAACCCATCTAAGGACTGTCTCCAGGTCATCTCCAGTTTCACGTTTTGAATCTGAGCCCTGCATCAGGTAGACAACTGCTTTTCTAACCGAAGAGCGGTCTCCTAGTGATTCCTGAGGGTTGGTCAGTCACCCCTCTGCCCGCCACGGGGTAGCCCTGCCTGCCTGACGCATAAAGGGGCAGTGTCTCTACTGCTGCAAAAGTGTGCTGAGGCCGAGGGTCGGATTTCCTCAGGCAGCTGGAAAATAGGACAGGCTTGGGGGCTGGAGCACAGTGGGCAGCTCGGCTTTGTCTCCCCGGAAGCTGCCAGCAGCTCAGCTGGGAGCCAGACGCCCGCCAGTCTTTTGCTGCAGGGCTGCAGCTGTGTGCCCGTGGGCAGACGCGTGGGGGGCTGTGCCGTCTGTCCACTCCCTGTGGCTGCTGGCATGTGCCCCAGGCCACATACCTGCCCACTGAGAGCCCTGGGCTTCCTGGTGCAGGAGGAGTAGCAGACAGGCTCAGGGGCAGCTGCCTTCTTGGGTGGGGCTGGGGTGGTGTGAGGAGGGGTCTCTGAGGGAGTGCAGCTCGGGTGTTGCTCTTGTTTTCCAGCGGGGATCTGACGAGCTTTTCTCTACGTGTGTCACTAACGGACCCTTTATCATGAGCAGCAACTCGGCCTCTGCAGGTAACCCCACATTCAGAGTGCCCACCCCAGGCTGGGGGTGGCTCTGGTTAAGGTCGTGCTGTGCCTGTCCTAGCTGGACTGGAGCTTGCTCCTTCCACAGTTCATACCCTGTGGCCTGGGGTCAACACTGCAGATCCCAGGCCAGATGTGGCACAGAATTCCTAGGCCATGCTTGACTGCCATCTCCTCTTGGAGGTAGAGAGGCAGATGTGTGTATAAAACTGGGTCCTGGCAGTCCTGACCTTGAGCTTCCAGTTCATCCAGCTTCCCTGGGAGCAGGAAGAGGACCCTCCAGGATAGGGCCTGGGAGTTCTGGCCTTGGCCAGAGAGGGAGGAGGCTTCAGGGAGGACAGGCTCCTACTGCAACCCGAAGCCCCCTCCCACCCCCTGCCCCTTTCAGCAAATGGAAATGACAGTAAGAAGTTCAAAGGTGACAGCAGGAGTGCGGGCGTCCCCTCCCGAGTGATCCATATCCGCAAGCTGCCCAGCGATGTCACAGAGGGCGAGGTCATCTCCTTGGGGTTGCCCTTTGGGAAAGTCACCAACCTCCTGATGCTGAAGGGCAAAAACCAGGCCTTCATCGAGATGAACACAGAGGAGGCGGCCAACACCATGGTCAACTACTACACCTCGGTGACACCCGTGCTGCGCGGCCAGCCCATCTACATCCAGTTCTCCAACCACAAGGAGCTTAAGACTGACAGCTCCCCCAACCAAGCGGTATGTGGTCTGTGGAGGGCGGGGCGGGGCCTGTGGTCCTGGGGTCCCCACCCCAGAGGGCTCACAGTGCTGCCTCCACAGCGGGCCCAGGCGGCCCTGCAGGCCGTGAACTCAGTCCAGTCGGGGAACCTGGCCTTGGCTGCCTCAGCCGCTGCCGTGGATGCTGGGATGGCCATGGCTGGGCAGAGCCCCGTGCTCAGGATCATCGTGGAGAACCTCTTCTACCCTGTGACCCTGGACGTGCTGCACCAGGTGAGGCTGCGGGAGCCCGGGGCTGGGGGCCACCTCCCTGGGGCGAGAGGCTCATGCTGCCCTGCCTTGCAGATCTTCTCCAAGTTTGGCACAGTCCTGAAGATCATCACGTTCACCAAGAACAACCAGTTCCAGGCATTGCTGCAGTACGCGGACCCTGTGAGCGCCCAGCACGCCAAGCTGGTGAGTGGCCTCCTGGGGAGGCTCGCCCTGGGGCCCGGCCATAGCTGACCCGCCTCTCCCTGCAGTCGCTGGACGGGCAGAACATCTACAATGCCTGCTGCACGCTGCGCATCGACTTCTCCAAGCTCACCAGCCTCAACGTCAAATACAACAACGACAAGAGCCGCGACTACACGCGCCCAGACCTGCCCTCTGGGGATAGCCAGCCCTCGCTGGACCAGACCATGGCCGCGGCCTTCGGTGAGACGCCGTCCTGACCCTGCACAACACGTGCAGGCCACAGGCTGGGTGGGATGTGTAGCTCAGTCAGCGCCCTCAGGCCCCCGGGAGCAGCTCCCGCTGGCACGCCAGCCCTGCAGAGCAGCGGACCTGCCCGCGAGGCTCTTGCCCCTCTCGGGTGCAGGTTGTGGGTGCAGTGATTAGTGTCTCTTTGTTTCTAGGTGCACCTGGTATAATCTCAGCCTCTCCGTATGCAGGAGCTGGGTTCCCTCCCACCTTTGCAATTCCTCCAGCCACAGGTACTCAACTCGGCCGCCCCAGCGACTGCATGCCTCACCCTTTCCACGCAGCTCTGCTTCCACGGCAGCCAGCGTGGCCGGCTGGTCCCTGGCGAGTGCCGGGGAGAGGGGAAGGGAGCCGCAGGGGCAGTCGCGTCCGCAGAGGCGGCTCGACAGGGCAGCGGAGAGGCAGGGCAGGGCAGGGCGGCAGCCCGTGAGTCGGGCCTTGGAGTTGGCGAAAGCCGCTAACCGGTCAGTCTTGTGGTCTGGTTCCCTTCAAGCACTCGGGCGAGGACGAGGACGAACTGGAGGGATGTGTCCCTAGTAGTTGTTGAGTGGCCTGGTAAGCGATGGCCTCCGCTGAGGAGCATGCGCCGGCGGCCGGCACACGTGTGCGTCGTCCCGGCCGTCATGGCCGCGTGCGAGCAGTGCCTGCTGCGTCTGCATGGAGGACGGCGTGGCTTGCACGCACGCCGTGTCCTGTCGGGCCTGCCTGCGAGGCCCATGTCTGCGTTTTCGGACCCAGGCTTCCGTGCTGTGGCGCATGCAGGGGGCCCAGGGGCCGTGTGGCTGCACCTGGCGCCCGGAGGAGCCCACGGGCACCCCTCACAGGGCTCGAGCCTGGCGCCGCCTCCCATGGCTCCTTGTGCATGAGGAGGGGGCCTCTGTGCCCCATTGGTGGCCGGTGGAGGGCCTGTGCTCACTTCCTGACTGCCTCTTCCTTCCAGGTCTGTCTGTCCCTAACGTGCACGGAGCCCTGGCCCCATTGGCCATTCCATCGGCTGCGGCTGCCGCGGCCGCTGCAGGCCGCATCACCATCCCAGGCCTGGCGGGGGCTGGGAACTCCGTCCTGCTGGTCAGCAACCTCAACCCCGAGGTACGTGGGTCCCTCCCAGGCTGCTTCTCCCAGAGCGTGAACAGGGTATGCTGGGCCCTAGGGTCAGTGGCCCTGCTGCATGCGGGCGGGGCCTGAGTCTCCAACTCGGCCCCTAGCAGCGGCCTCCTCAGGCTCCGCGTGGCCGCCTCGCTCTGTTGGAGTCTGCTGTGTGTCGCGACATCACTCCTGCTTACCACCTTTCCCAGGGTCCTCTGAGTTTCCTGTCTTCCCTGCCGTCTCCATTTGCATTTTCAATTTGATGACGCTCTGAGTTGAAATACCTCCTGTCACCTATCGAGGAGGGCTAGGCTAGGTGTGTGCCCAGCAGGGGACCCTGGGCCTGCCGGCGGTCAGGGTGCTTGGCCACGCACGCCTTGCACACAGACCTCAGTTGCCAGTGTGAACGTGTGCACACAGCTGGGGCTGGGCCAAGATGCCCGGGGCTCAGGGTGTGAGTTTGGACAGGACCTGGTCGGCATCTCAGAGCACTCCTCGTCTGTGGTGCTCCTGTTGGCTTCCTGGGCTCCGGGCAGGGCAGGACTGGCGTCCCCACAGTCCCTGCTCGTGCGCTCCACGTCCCTGCAGCTGTCCTGAGCCAGGGCACGTGGGGGTGGGCCGGCAGCCGCTGCTGGCCGCTGCCTGTGGCTGCAGCGACCTCCCAGCACAGCCCGGGCCTGGCCTCTCCCTGCGTCTCCCCAGGTGGAGCGTTGCGTGTGCGCGAGTAACTGGGACGCTGCCTGGTTTCCTTACGTATTTACTGACCTGTGTTTTTTGCTACTTTTTTCTTTTCTCCCCTTTCCCTATTTTTTTTCTTGCCCTGATCCGGAATTTCTTTGCCAACTGACTGCACGGTTCTTCTGCTTCCTGTTGTTGCTTGAAACAAACAAAACATAAATAAATAAAAACAAACTCCCCTCTCAAACCCTGCTCTCCGGAAACAACCCGCCCTTGAATATTAACATCCTGGCAACTCATCACCATCAACCTGCACGCCTGCGGGGACTGTCTTCCTCGTGGTGGACGATGGCAACTCGCCCCCTTGACCTCTCCCTTCCCCCTGTCCCTTCGCTGCCTTGCTCTGCTGTCCTCTAAAGAGAGTCACACCCCAAAGCCTCTTTATTCTTTTCGGTATGTTATTCCCACTTTTATTACCTTGTTTTCATTTAATTGATGGTTTTACGCCCTGAGATGTGCCCTGAGTTTGCGTTTGGCCTTCTGCCTCCTTACGTGGTTTGCTTCCGGTTGCAACCGTCTCACCCGTAGTCGCGCATGGTTACCGCCCTGCATGCTTCTCCAAGAGTTAAGCGTGTCAGTAGCATGCGAACGTGGTCCTTCTTGACAGCTGGCCTGTCCCGGACATTAGGACCTGGCTGGACGTGGGCGCTCCTGTTAGCGGGCCCTGGGCTGCTAGGCGCAGGCTCCCCGGCAGGCTGAGCAAGCCTTAAGGGGTGCACAGGGGCTGGAGGGCGGGCGGGGCCGGGCGCTCACGGCCTTGTCCCTGGGTCCCGAAGGCGTCTATGGGGACGTGCAGCGGGTGAAGATCTTGTTCAACAAGAAGGAGAATGCACTGGTGCAGATGGCAGATGGCAGCCAGGCCCAGCTGGGTAAGAGGCCCAGGCCCCGGGTCAGGCACAGGGTGGGGGATGGGGGTGCCTGCTGGGGCCCCTGGTCACGTGCCCCCGTGTTCCCAGCCATGAGCCACCTGAACGGGCACAAGCTGCACGGGAAGCCCATCCGCATCACGCTGTCCAAGCACCAGAACGTGCAGCTGCCGCGGGAGGGCCAGGAGGACCAGGGCCTCACCAAGGACTACGGCAACTCCCCCCTGCACCGCTTCAAGAAGCCCGGCTCCAAGAACTTCCAGAACATCTTCCCGCCCTCCGCCACCCTGCACCTCTCCAACATCCCGTGAGTCCGGGCACCCGCAGGGAGGCGCCCCCATCCTGCCTCAGCAGCCCCTGAGTGCAGGCGTGGGACGCAGAGCCTCTTGGTCTTCTCAAGGCCATTTGCGCCCCGTGGTCATCACTTCTCCCCTGGGTCTCGGGGGCAGGAGGTCCCTGCTCACACCCCTCCTCCCCACAGGCCTTCCATCACGGAGGAAGACCTCAAGGTCCTGTTCTCCAGCAACGGGGGCGTGGTCAAGGGGTTCAAGTTCTTCCAGTGAGTAGGGGCCTCCCCACCCTGCCTCCCCTCCCCACCATACCCACCCGCCCTGTGCCCACCAGCTGGCCTGCTGTGCTGTAGGAAGGACCGCAAGATGGCGCTGATCCAGATGGGCTCCGTGGAGGAGGCGGTGCAGGCGCTCATCGACCTGCACAACCATGACCTGGGCGAGAACCACCACCTGCGAGTCTCCTTCTCCAAGTCCACCATCTAGGGCCCAGCCCCTGGCCGGGCTCCGGAGCCGCTTCCGTCATTCCAGAGAAAAGCCACTTTAAGAAGCAGCTGAAGTGACCTTAACAGACCAGAGATTTTATTTTTTTAAAGAGAAATCAGTTTACCTGTTTTTAAAAAAATTAAATCTAGCTCACCTTGCTGACCTTGCGGTGACTGACGGCTCGGGCGCTCGGGGACTGCGGCAGGGGTCCCCCACCTGCCCGGGGCCAGGCCAGGCCAGACCCCGCGCCCTGCCTTGCAGGGTGTGCTGGGCCTGTGGCCCACGGGGGGCGCCCCCACCACGACGTGGCTTCCTCGTGCCTTAAACCTGCCTGCCTTGCAGCCGCACGCCCACCCAAGGGGACCCAGGGACCCGGGGCCGGGGATCTGCTCCAGGCACACGCAAAGCGGCCTCCTGTTCCCACGGATCATGTGCCCAGTGCTGGGAGGGAGTGGAGACTGAGGTGCCAGCGGGGCTGGCTGGCCCCCCCCCCCCCCCCATGTAATCAAGTGACATGATTATCCCTGTGTCCTCCAGCCACCCAGGTCCCCGTCGCCCGGCCAGGCCCAGAGGGCACCAACCCAGCCTCCTTGAGCTTTTAGCCTTTTGTTATAATCTTTGTATCATATTCTGATGTGGTTGCAGACATCTGTGCCTAGCAATATTTCCAGTTGACCAAATATCCTAATCTTTTTTCATTTATATGCAAAAGAAATAGTTTTAAGTACCTTTTTATAGCAAGAGGATCCATGGTATGAGTGTGAGCTTTCTCTTGGTATTACTTTGTATGCTGTACTTTCTATTTTATTCTTTGTAATCAATTCAGTCACAGGCAGGACCCAGCCTCCGGCAGGGCCCAGCCGTGCACCGCCCGCCTCAGTGGCCTTACTCAGCTCCCCAGATCTGCCTAGGAAGACCAGCTCTAGAACTTTCAGGGTTTGTTGTTTTTTCCCCTTTTCCTTCAAATTTTGGACCAAAGTCRTGTTTCTGTTCCTGTCTGCTCTGATGCTGGGACTCCAGGCGGTGGGACCCTCCAGGTCCTGACCACCCTCCTACCCTGGGGGACGCCTTGGTCCCACCGCGCCAGCAGCAGGGCCAGTCTCCTCGGATCCCCAGTTTCATAGAGTGACAAGGGTGTAAATATTTATGATTTTTTTATACCTGTAGAGACGTGGAGGGCGCGTCGGGTTTTTACGGTGACGTGTATTTTGATAACAGCGACCGCAGGCTCAGTATTGTACGTGGAGCGCAGTGGCCACGAGCACATTCCATGGCCCGACCCGGGCTTGTCATGAGAGAACTCGATTAAAGCCGTTTTATAACACCTGCCTTCCTGTAGACCTCTTCTTTGCTGTCAGGCTGTGGAAGGCAGCTGGCGGGTCTGTACTGGACGTGAATAAATCTCTTCTCTACCCTGCGCTTCTGATCTCCCTCTTTTTTGGGGCACCTGCTTCCCCCCCTTCCCTGGGCTGGGGGCTGAGACCCACGTCCCTCCTGTTCAGAGGTGCTGCAGGGGCAGAGAACCAGACCCTACTGCCCACTGGCCTTGGGCCCGCACAGACCAGACGACTCGGGACCTGAAGTCAGCCATCGCCTTCTTTATTGATGTGGTCATGAGATGCCCCCAGCCCTCAGCCCCCCACCCATCCTGGCCTCAGGTGGCCTCTGCCGCGGAGAGGAGAGGAGCGCCTCAGTCCTGGAGCCTGCGGGCCTGCATCCTCCGGAAATAGCTCTCAGCCTCTGCCTCGCCGGCCTCCCGCTCGCCCAGCACCAGGCCGCCGCCCTGCCGCCGCAGTGTGGACTCGCGGCTGGCCGGCCCCAGCACTCCGTCCGCTGCGCCCTGTGGGGGCAGCCCCTCTCCCGTGGCCAGGTTGACAGTGGCCACGGCCCCGAAGCGCGGCTCCTCTTGGTCCACGTCGCTGACTGATGAGCCGGGGGACACGCCTGGTGGCTTGGACCCCACGCGGAAGCCACGCGCCAGGTCCCCCAGCTCGTACCCCGCCTCGCCCTCCGTTCCCCGGGGCCCACCGCCCGCTGCCTTCCACTCCCAGGGCGCGTTACCCGCCGACAGGTGGACCACAGGGTGGTGGGGTGCGTGAGCATCGATGGTGACGATGCTGGCCGAGTCGCGGTCCGAGGGCGAGCGGTACTGCGAGGAGTCGGAGCTGGCGCTGGAGGACGAGGCCGTCTCTGCTGCCTTGGGTCCGGGCCCGCCCGGGGCCTTGGACATGGCAATGACCTGCAGCAGCCGAGGGGGGTTGGCCACGCGGGGCTGGGCGGGGGCCGCGGGGGCCACGCCCTTCTCGGCCATCATGAGCCACTTGGCACGCACGGCGGCGCTGCTCTTGGGGGACAGGCCCGTGCCTGCCTGCGCCCCCTCCTCGGGGATGTGCACCAGCGGCTGAGGCCCCGACCGTGGCGGGAGCAGGACCCGCGGCCCCAGCCCTGGCCGCGCCTGCACCGTGGGGTAGAGTGAGGGTGGGATGGGGCCCTCCTCCTCCCCCTCCTCGTCCTCCTCCTCTTCGTCCTCCTCCTCCTCCTCGTCCTCCTCCTCCTCGGCCATGGGCTCTGCGGGCGCCCGCAGGTGCGCAGGGCTGGCCTCGTCGGGCAGCCCCAGGCCACGGCCCTCCAGGGACTTCTGCTTCCACTCACTGATGAGCTGCTTGGAGCGCGAGGCGTCCAGCGGCACGTGGATGGTCATGTGGCGGCGGGCAGGGTCGTCCAGCGAGGGTGTGCTGACTCGGGGCAACGTGTTGCTGAAGGTCACCAAGTGCTCCTTGCCCATGGGGCTGCGGGGGGCCAGCAGGTCCACATCCACGCTGGCCCTCTTCAGGCTGCCCAGGGACGTCTTCTCACGGGCCACAGGACGGGGCACGCCCTCCAGACGCCCTGGCGGGCCCAGCTCATCTGTGCTCACAGACTTGTTCTGCTGGTAAACCGAGTCGTGGCCCCGCTGGGTCAGGGCCCGCAACGCGTCCTTGGCGGGTGGGGGAGCCGCGGGTTTCTCTGCGGGTGGGGCCTGGAAGTTGCCCACCGCGTGGCAGGCCTGGGAGGACACAGGGAGCGTGAGCCTCCTGCCAGCAACGGCCTGGCCGGTGACGCATCTGCCTGGGAACCGGGGACCCAGGGCTGCAGGGCCTCAGCACTGCAGGCTCTGCAGGTCCTCGTCCCTCTGGAGTCCCCAGGACCCCAGGACGGGGGCAGCCTCCCCCTGGCAGGACGCGCCCCTCCCCCCTGGCAGGGCCGGCCCTCCGGCTCCGCGGCAGCTCACCAGGTAGGCAGCGATGCCCGCCCCGATGAGGAAGCCCGCGTAGACGTCCACCGCGTGGCTGCGGTGCTGGGTGATCTGGGTGAGCCCGCAGACGCCGGCGGCCATGGCGAAGGCGAACACCAGGACGGGCTTGAGCAGCTTGGTGGCGTCCGAGATGACGGAGTTGAAGTACATCTGGGGGGTGGGCAGGGTCAGGCCTGGCCAGGGCCCGGGAGCCGCGGGGGCTGGGGAGCACTCACCGACACGTAGACGGCGGCGAAGGCGGACAGCGTGGCGTGCTGGGACGGGAAGGTCTTCCTGCAAGAGCGACCCGTGAGCCCCGCGGGCTCCCCACGGGGGCGCGGGGGCGGTGGAGGGCGGTGGCTCACCGTGCCGACAGGATGGCGTGGGCATCGTGGCCAGAGCAGATGTCCTGCGTGATGTAGGGGTTGGCCTCGCAGGACGTGCCCAGCAGAGTGTAGTTGGGCTTGCAGACGGTCAGGAAGAAGGGTGCATGGTAGCCAGTGGCCAGCTGGATGATGTCGGTCACCAGAGCTGTGGCACACAGGCCGAACACGTGGACGCCTGCGGGGTCAGGGGGTCAGGGCTGGGACCGCAGGCACAGCTGCCCCGCTGGATGGCCCTCCGGGCGGCAGGGGACAGGCCAGTACTCACCCACGAACCGCACAGTGCGCCGCAGGAAGGAGTTGAAGTTGCAGCCGCCAGCGCTGATGCTGCCCTCTGCCCCGCCAGCGGCCCCGCCGCGGCCCCACAGCCGGGCCTGAAGGCAGTAGAGCAGCCCCTCGGCGACCATGATCTGCCCGACAGGAAGGGGTCAGGCGGGCTGGGGCCGCGGCCCCACGGCCCCACGGCCCCACGGCCAGCCCAGGCGCACGCGCTCACCGAGGCAGCTGGGGCTGCAAAGGCCAGGCTGAGCAGCATGAGCAGGGGGATGAGCTCCTCGCTGGTCTCCACGTAGGGCATGGACAGCGCGCGGTCGTAGCACTGGAAGCCCACCTGCGCGGGCCTGAAGAGGTCGGTCAGCTCCAGGAAGTACAGCGACACGATGGAGGAGGCCACGATGGGAAGCTGCAGCAGACACGCAGGTCACTGTCCACCTGCCAGCCGCACACCACCCTTGTCCCCCTGGCTGTCATTCCAGCACCCAGAAACCAGTTCCTCAGGCCAGGTCTCTCCACTGCCACCCACACGCCCACCCTCCACCTGCCCATCCACTCACCCGGCCACCATCCATACACCCACATGCCCACTCAGCCACCATCCACCACCCACATGACCACCCGTCCACCATCCACCACCCACACCCACCACCCATACACCCACCTGTCCATCCACCCATACACCCACCTGTCCATCCACCCATACGTCCATACGTCCACCATCCACCACCCACACGCCCACCTGTCCATCCACCACCCACACGCCCACCCGTCCATCCACCACCCACACGCCCACCCGTCCATCCACCCACACGCCCACCCGTCCATCCACCACCCACATGCCCAGCTGTCCATCCACCACCCACAT